CAGTGCATCCTTTCAGGGTCACACTGAAGCATTGTTGTTAACAAGCCCATGGGATGGGCTTTTTAGAGAATGTCCTTGGCTTCAGTCTAGTTTATCATTGCCTACAGGTTCCAACTCTGATTTGTGGATTCTGAGTGTTGGAAGCCCCAAATGCTGGGGGTTTTCTTGTTCCAGAGCATTTTAACCCATTTAAAGCCCAACTTACATTACTTTGTTTTGAGTTGAGGTCTCACTGTGTTGCCCTGACTGGAGTGCAGTGGCGTAATCAGAGCTTACTACAGCCTCGACCTCCTGGGCTCAGACAATCCTTCTACCTCAGTCTCTGGAGTAGCTGGGACTACAGGCACAAGCCACCACACCCAGCCAATTTTTTAATTTTTGCGTAGGGATAGAGTCTAACTATGTTGTCCAGGCTGGTCTCTGACTCCTGGGCTCAAGCAGTCCCCCAGCCTCAGCCACCCAAAGTACTGGGATTGTAAGTGAACCACTGTACCTGGCCCTAATTTATGTTCTTTTACTTTCCTTCTCAAATGCCCATAAACGACCTGTTCCTCAAAATGTTATATGAACTAACTTTACCTTCTTAGTAGTTTCTTCATTAGTGAATTGTTACATATTTGACCTGTGCTTATTCTTTATTTGCATGAGAGACATATTTTTGATTTTCTAAAAATTGTACTGGGAGGATTACTAAGCTGTTCAAAGGCCAGCGAGGACCACTTAATAAATAAATTAATACCTATGAAGATAAAATGGTAGCAAAGAGACCAGAAAGTTAATGGTCTGACTTAATAGATGATCATAGCTTATGTTCAAATAAAAAGTTTTTCCCCTTTCATTTGGCCTTTTTGCCTATCCCTTGGTCTTACAAACAGCAGAACAACAGAAATGATTCTAAAAGTTCTCTCCATCAGCTATGGGCTTGACTGTGACTGATCAGAATATACTATGTAAGTAAAATCTGTGTTTGATGCCCTTGCTAGAACCAGTGCACAGCATACACTGCCAAGCATATAGGTTGCTTTTTACTGCTTGTCCGTGGGGGTGGTGTCCAGTGGATAAGGAGATCCCGCTTTCAGAAGCAGAGATTGGACTCAGATGATGTGTGGGTCACTTTGGAATGAAACTTGCATTTTGGACATTGATTATTTGTCACTGGGATTAATCGTTACTTGAGACTCTGCATTTCATACGTGATATTAGGGACTAGTGAATAATTTGGGCTGAGACACGAGACAGGCAGGCAGATGATATAGATAGACTGATAGGCGGATACTTTTTAAGGTAAAGGAGGAATTCTTGAAGTAATTATTCCCATAAATAAAAAGCATGGTAAAATGGCAAGAGAAAAAAACTTTTGGCACTGTGCAAACATCCATTTATGTACAAATAACCAATATACTTTTATAAATCATGATTTAGGGAACCCAATTCCTCAAAATAATAATGTGTGTGTGTCTGTATATGTGATATACAAGGGGGACTCCAAAAAAACTGGAATTATCTTTTTGGAGGACAGGTCCTCTGTAGTACAGGCTTACCCCCTCTAGGTAAGTGTTCTGGGCGCCCATTGACATCAGTGTACAGCTAGCGTTGTTGGGAGAGGCTGCATGTGGCTTCAGTGGATTTTTTTTGGCAGATTGTCCATCTCATGATGGGTGATTTATAGGCACACCTGCCCACATTGCACTGAGCAGTTTTTGACCCCAAACAGCGTGACCCTTGTGTTTGCCTAATCTCACCCCAAGCAACTTTTTTTTCCTCCTGCATGGAGAAAGTCCTCAAAGAGAAACATTTTGCTGATGTGAAGGAGGTGAAACAAAAAAATGGCAGAAACACTAAAAGGCATCAAAATTGATGAGTTCAAAAACTGTTTTGAGCAGTGGAAAAAGCATATCTGTGGGTATATTGCATCAAACGGAGAGTCCTTTGAAGGTGATTGGCATTTAAACATGTAAGAATAAATACACATTTTTTATAAACAAATTACGGTTTTTGGGGGAGTCCCCACTGGTATGTATATTAGTAAGTAGATGGAAAGAGAGTTTAATAAACATCGGCTCATGAGAGTGCTCTTGGCTCTCAAAAAACAGTGCAGTTTAAAAGCTGAAAGTCCTGTAAAGATGATCCTGTTCAATACCTGGTTGGACAGTGGAGAAAATAGTGCTGGAGGGGTTCAGTTGCATGTCCAGGGCAGCAACAGGAAGTGGCTGGGCTTCTGCGGAGTCTGGCTCTTCTGATAGGCGTTTCCTCCACAATACCGTTTTGTCTTTTCTGTACCATGTAGAATTCGTTGGAAAATATTTAATGAGCCTGAGTGTCTGGACCTGGACCTGGCTCTGGAAGTGATATGTGAATATTTGTCCAGAAACGTGAAGTCCCACTGTCACCAGAGTTCCTGCTCTTGGCAGTTTGGATTTGGCTGGACTCACTAGACCCCCTCCTTTGATTTTACTCTTGTTGGCTTCAGCAGCTGACTGATGGGTCAGTTCCTTTTCCTCTTGTCCTGTTCTTCATGCTGCATGAAGCCTTTTTTCTCCATCAGCTTTGCAAACCTCTGTCTTCCCCTGCATGCACGTGTTCTTTTTTTAATCTCCTCCCTGTCTTGGTAGCTTCTTAAACTGAAGAGCAGACAAAGAAGTCCTGTGCCACCATAGCTTATAAAATAGATTTAAAACTCTTGCTTGATTTCATTTAATCATCTGTGTTTTAGCAGTATTCTTTTATTTTTCTCTATTACTGACTTAATTTGGTTTTTCACCTGCACTGTGAGTTACAGACATTTGCAAGCCAATTTAGCTCAGAAACAGAAATGTGTCCTGAGTCATAACTAAATTTAATTATTTTGTCATTAATATCTGAAAATAAAATTTAAAATTCATGCCTTTAGACGCTTCAGTAATTCTACATTTACCAGTTACTCTGAATTTTTAAAAATGATGTCTGGTATTTATTATTGCACCTTGTTCTGATATTAAACTTGTGAGAAGGAATAGCCTTGATTCCTTATGTGTTGTCAGCCATATGTTGTATTCAGTCTGAGTATAGATTTTAGTGTATGAGGAATGAGTAATGAATACTTTATACATCCCCAAAAATCTTTCTTATTGCTTTGATGAAAGAATTAAAAACATGATTTGTAAAATCTGTTATCTGACTTACTACAAATAGATATCAAATCAAATGTATGTCATAGCTAACAAAGTTTTTTATTCTTGATTTTTTTTTAAAGACAGGGTCTCTCTCTGTTGCCCAGGCTGAAGTGCAGTGGCATGACCATAGTTTACTACAACCTTGAACTCCTGGGCTCAAGTGATCCTCCTGCCTCAGCTTCCTGAGTAGCTGGTACTACAGGCATGCACCTCCATGCCTGGCTGTTTTTCTTCTTGGTATTTTTTTGTAGAGATGAAGTCTTGCTATGTTGCCCAAGCTCTAACAAAGGTTTAAAATATCAGTTGTAGCATTTTAGCTATTTCATTTATGAAAAAAAATTGCATCGTTTTGGTTAGCTCCGTTACAGAAAGATCATCAATCAGTAAATCAAAAAGTATCTCAAAACCTCATTTAGTTAAGTGGTTTTCTAAACCAGTTTCTGCCATCATCCCTTCCAGCAGAGAAGTAGTATAGGTGGACCCTCACTCTGCTCAGAGGGTTTACACAGTATGTGGACACTTTCTTGTGAGGTAGGAGTGATAAACGCCCTAAGAGAGGAACAGAAAAGTTCCATGGGCATTCCAAAAAGAAGGGAATTATTTCTAACTCTGAAGGTCAAAAAGACTTCATGGATAAGAGCGCACATTTTTGCCAAACATTAAGGACATTTGCAAGTGGTGAATGAGTTGTTCTGGGTAGATGGAGAAGTGTGAGCAAAGCAACTGAGGTCAACAAGACCAGGTGGAGAGAACAGGAGTGCACTGGACTGTGGAAGCGGAGCAGTGATCCAGAAAGTGTTTGAGGGCAAGGAACCCAGCTCGCCTGGGGCCAAAGCGATGCCGCGAAGCTCCCTGAAGGCCAGACAGAGAAGAGGCGTGGAGCTGTGCTTCAGACAGTGGCAGCAGTGTCCAGGGTGGGCTGAGCGTGGAGGGGACGGAAAGGGGCAACCGGACAAGGTGTCACCAGAACCTGAATTAAACCAGCGGGACATGGTTATGCCAGTAACAGGAGCAGGAAACATGGCAAGAAAAGAAGATTAGGGGCAAAGCTGGAAGGATGCTTTTCAGTTGCGTTCTTGTAAAAATTGGAAAACGGGTGCCAGTGTTGTCATGGCTAGGTGTGGTGATGCATGAACAGTACGGGTAGCCGAGTGCGATGGGAAATTAATGTCACAAAAACATGGGCGAGTTGGTGCTGATTTAATGAACTCACTACTGTTTTTCTTAAGCTGGATGAGTCTTAAAACATTTGCAAGTGTGTATCTGTTGGGTAGAAATGTCTGTCTGTAGAAATGTGCATCTGTGAGAAAGCTGCAATTTGTTGTGAGCAGAGGTCACATTTTAGCATGGTGATGCAGAGATGAAGAAAAACCCACCTGTGGGTGTTAGTGTGGGTAGGAGCAGCGCGAACAGATGAAGGAGCAGCTCGCCGTAAGTTTTCTGGGAGACAAAATGTTGACAAATTTGAATAATAACGAGCATCTTACTTTAAGGTTGGTATATGATCATTCACTTTTGTAAACTCAGTAAGTTGACAGTAAGTCGGTTTCTGTCTCTTGCTTAGATATCAGGCATTGTTTTAGCATCATGGATACAACAGTGAACAAAACAGTCTCTGCTTTCTAGAACCTACATAATGATGAAGAAGAAATTAATAAATATAAAAATGTTTTACCCTTAAATCAAGATAAGTAACTTTTATAATTGTACCGTATTTTCAAATAGTGTATGTGTGATGATAATGAAAACGAAATGCATTGACTCAAGCATGAAGCTTTCTTACAATTCTTGGTAAATACCTGTTTTGAGATGAGATGACACATTCCCATTTCCTTTGTCTGTCAATAGAGAGCAGATTGTGAAACAGTCTACAGAACTGGTTTGCAGAGCCTATGGGGAAGTGTATGCAGCTGTGATGGACCCAACTAGCGAGTACAGAGATCCCAAGAGCATTCTCCACCGCTCGCCGCAGCAAGTGCAGACACTTCTCTCCTGACGGTCTTGTTTGATGGTGTTGGCAGAGTGTGACCTCCCTCAGACACTGAACGTTATTTTTGTTTTTGGTCTCTTACTCTGAGCTTTAAAACGTGATAGTTGCAGTTTCCCTTGCATCTTGAGATTGTAGGTCCCAATGATTTCTTTCAGTAATGACAGCGGGCAAGTCCATGGCATGCGGACCGGAGTCCTGGTGTTCCCATCGGCCCCACGTATTTCGTGAGGTGCTCTGCTCTTTGCTGCTTGCCTCTCTGGCTCTGCAGTTCCTCCTCTTCCAGAAGCAAAAAGTATTAGGAATGGTGGGGCGGGGGCAGTATTTTTGCAAGACTCATTCTAAAATAACAGCATATAAAAAACTTGTCTAAGCTTAAGCGTTCGCATGAGGTTGTGACCCAGTAAATGTCTTTTTACCTAAAGATTCATTGCCGTCTTGTTCACGGGAATAGGTGTGCTCTGTAGCCTTTCTGAATGCAGCTTGTGTCTCTGCCCACAGCAAAACTGCCCTTCGAGAGTTGTTGGAAGAAAGAAAAATAACCGTGGGCGGTGGTACTGGTGTGTGTGGCAATGAGTCACCTTCCTGGTCTCCTTTAGCACTGAATATAGAACTGACTTCACACATTTTTATGCAATTTTTAAACGTGCCCTCAGCAAAAAAAGGAAAAAGAGGGGGAGAGGGCAGTCATTTAATAGGATGACCTCCACTCTGGGGGCACCCCGGGAGGACCTCAGGGGGGATGTTCCCCATTTCCAGTGAGTGTCAGGGGCAAGGTGTCCAGAACTGAGCCTCAGTCTGAAGTTGGACCCTAGGGCCTCTCAGTCCATCGGCTGCAGGTTTTCTCTGGTGTTCAGCCCAAAGAAGCGAGGATTTGTTGGAGCGCTAGGGGAAGCGCTGCCGGGAGGTGTTGCCAGTCAGCTGCTGGCCTGCTCTGTGGTGGCCCTTGCTGTGGGGAAGGTTCAGATCGCTGTGGTTTTAGGAAATGAGTCTCGCTGTGCTTGGTTTAGCCTTACTTTGTTGTTAGGGCATCGGGGCAAGTCCAGTCAAAAGAAAAACAAAAAAACTGGCAAATCTGTAAAAGGGGAAAACTGAAACACAAGGAAATAATTGTTTCAAAATGTTTTGAAAAGTAATGATATTCATGGTAGAGCAGTATACTGTGTAATGTATGACAAATTGATATTTACAGACATGTTCTGTTCATCTATCTGATATTTGTAATCATTCATAACTAGTATGACTCTTTTTGGAGTATGAGTGATTATATATTTTCATTTTGGTATGAATCAGTATTTTTAATCTTTTCTGTTCAATGAGTATGTGTAATATATAAAAGATAAAAAATAAAGATAATGTAAATCAAGAACTCAATTTTTAAATAATTTGTTTCTACTGTGAAAAAAGGTTGACACCCTGCCATCAGTGAACTTATTTGTTTGGGGTGGGAATGTATATTTTGCTTTTTTGTGTGGTTTTTACAAATAAAATATTAAAATATTTCTAGAGCAGCAATCATTGAGGTATTTTTACGTGTCTCATAAATGTGTTTTTAGAAAAGGCACTCATAGAAAAGGAAGCACAACAGAAGCAAAACTGAGAGAACCAGTGAAAGGCTAGCAGGCAGAATATGGCGTATGATCCTGAGAACTGAGTTGGAACGCAACCCTGTGAGTAGTAATCCGTTAGCATGACTCTTAGATTTGCTACATACTTCATGGTGTGCATTTTGAACTATTTTGCTCTGGCTCAGGTATAACTTTGTTTCAGAGAGAAGTTACTTGCTTGGCAAAACTCTTCTCTGCCTGAACTTTTTCATTTCTTTCTCTATGTCTGTACCTGAGAAAATCGTACAAATGGACTAGTTGACTTTTAGTTTGTGAGCACTGTCTTCAAATAGGCACTGCTGTGGGCTGAATGCTTAAGTTTCCCCCAGATTCATGTGTTAAGATCCCAACTCCCAATGTGCAGGCTTTAGGTGTGGGGCTTTGGGGAGGTGAGGAGGTTGTCAGGGTGGAGCCCTTACGGATGAGATTAATGCCCTTATTATGTAGTGGCCGAATGTTTAATCTGAGAGACCACCAAGAGCCAATTCCGATGAAAGTTCAAGAGGGTCTTTATTTGCAAGCTCGAGCCTGGACCTCTGTCGACAACTGACGCAGCGGAGTACACCCAGAGACCCTGACTTCCTTAAGCAGACACCTTTTATGTTTTTACACAGAGGAAGGAGGAGTTTGGGGGGACTTTCCAGTCTTGTTACCATTTAATTGGGTGGTAACCTCTGGTGGTCAGCTTAATCATGGAGGATTGGCTAGCTTGACTCCGGCTGACCTTGGCCCACTAGCTGGGGAAGTTGCAGAGACATTTGGAAACTTTAGGTGATTTTCCCCTGGCACCTGATTGGTTGTTGCTAAAGGGAAAGTGGGTCAAGGGAAGGGGTTGAAGCTTGAACTGGAGCTTTGCAGTTTTTCCCATAACTGAAACTTTAAACAGCTACAGGTTATGTTTTAAAGCAGAAAACTAAAATGGCTGTGCTATTGTCCACAAGCCGATTACATATTTATTGGGTTATAGCATGCTTTTAACCTAAGTTTATGGTATACTCTATTACGGTTCTCTCAATTAAAAAGGCTCAGGAGACCCTGCACCCCTCCACCATGTGAGGTTATGGTGAGAAGCAAGCCCTCACCAGACTCCAAGCCTTCCAGTGCTTGATTTTGGGCTTCTCTCTCCAGAACAGTGAGGGAAATCTGTTGTCTGTGAGCTACCACCCAGTGTATGGCGTTTTGTTGTAGCCCAGATGAACTAAAACAGGAACTCAGTGTTACTTTGTAGCTTTTTTCTGTTTCTTTGGCCAATTTGACTTCCCACTTTGAAGAGGACTTTTCACACCCCTTTCAGTTAATGTCTTCACGATTCACGGAGAATAGAGGCTGTTGGGTTAATCTTCCTCAGCTTCTCCCCTCCAGCATCACACCCATCTTCTCCATCTCTTCTTCCTTTGCCTTGGCTATGTCCCTCTTCCTATGGCAGGCAGGCTGTTCCCTTTTGTGCGCCCTGGCTCCCGGTCTCTCACTTTTTTTTTTTTTTTGAGTCGGTGACTCACTCTTTCGCCCAGACTGGAGTGCAGTGGCCGTTCCCGGCCACCACAGCCTCGACCTGCTGGGCTCCGGCGATCCTTCCGCCTCAGCCTTCCGAGTAGCCGGAATTACAGGCATGCGCTACCACACCCAGCTGATTTTTTGATTTATTGTGGAGATGAGGTCTCGCTACCCAGGTGGGTCTCGAACCCACGGGCTCAGGCAATCCACTCACCTCAGCCTCCCAAAGGCGCGGGATTACAGGCTGAGCCACCGAGCCCAGGTGTCTCTCACTTTTTCGAGCCTTTTCTCTCCGGCTGTCCCTTCCTCTTGCTTCATCAACAGCTGGCCTCTCTGTGGGATTATTCTCCACAGCATACACAACGCAGTAGGGTTCCTAATACTTTTATGAACTCTCCCCCTCTAACTGCTCCATTCCTTCTTCCATTCGTAGTCATTTACACATGCTGTCCCTGCTGCCTTGTTTCCCATTCTGTCTTTGAGGTGTCCCATCTGGCCTCAGCCTTTCACCCCTGCACTAAAACCAACCTTGTTGAGATCTTCATCAGCGCGGTGTGTGGCCTGATCTGGTGGACTACACGTACTTCTGCTTGAAATACTGTCCTTTCCAGGCTTCCTTGGTACCACTGTCTCCTAATGTTCCTCTGCTTCACTGGTCAAGCCTCTTTCTGGCCTCTTTCCCTGGATCTTTCCCTTCCACATGGCTTCTAAAGGTTGGTGTACTCTAGGGCTTGATCCTGGAAACTTCTCTTTTCATCCTTCCCTTATGGGTTGTTTATTACCTCAACATAGCCTATTTCATCCAGACTAATATTAGATCAAATGTCTTTAGATATATCCATACAATGGAATATTCTTTAGTAGTGGGAAGTGAATGACTTAGAATAAATAATGTTGAGAAAAAACAAGGATAAGAGAATATAATTCCATTCAAACAATTTTTAATGAAGTACAAAAATTACACATTATTCATGGATGCACATATGATAAAAGTGTAAGGAAAATAGGAAATTATCCATAATTCAGGATTATTTATGGAGAGGGGAATGCAAGATACATCTAAGTTGCTGATTATGCTTTATTCTTCCACTGGGTGGTTGGTATGTGAGCATTATTTCATTTGTTTAAATAGTCTTTACATTTTTCATATATGTTACATGAACTCTTGTTCGTATATTTCACAATTTTAAAAAATAGTGTGAAAATTTGCTTAGCACAAGCCTGGGCCAAAGTTAGAACTCAATATATGACAGCTACTTTTTTCATTAGTCTTATAAACACATTTATTAAGTACCTACTAGGGGTTAATCTCTAATAAGCACCAGAGTTTTAAAATATTACCAAATCATGTGTCTGTCATTGAGAAATTAGCTGTTTTGCACAGAGGTAGTCACAGGCCATATTAGTAAACAATACAGTTGGGTAGCTTGCCTGTGCATGTTGGTGTGAGGAGAAATGAACTAACATCATCCTTTATAACTTAGCCAGATGTATGTGCTTGAAGTTGAAGAGATCGAGAACACAGAAGACAGAGAGTTTCAAACCACAGCTGTACATTTTTCATTCTGAGTTTATCATAATGACTGTGGTGTATTAGCTAGGTATTTGCTTAAGATATGAGATCATTTAATAGCATGGTAATATCTGAAAAAAAAAAAGGTGTTTTAAGGAATTCTTGCCCTTCCTAAGGCAACAATAAAACTGGCCTTCAAAAAATATCCAAAACAGACTTTTTCTGAACGCTGGAAACTAGTTGAAAGCCTATAGCAACCTGGGCTATTTTTTTTTTTTTAAGGCCAAGTTCTAGTAAGAACAACAAGCTTGGTGCTTTAACTTGTGTTAGTTCATACCTCTCTCCCACAGTCAGCGCTAGCCTTGAAAAGAGCATCCCATATTCTTGGTCCTGGAAACTGCAGAATGGACCTTATTTGCAGTTTGTCCTTATTTGGTCTCTCTAGTAGCTCCCAGGAAGATTCATTCAAAAAGCTTGTCTTTATTGTGCCTGACTTGGAACCAGTTAGGGCAAACAGTAAATGAACCAAAAGATTTTGGAAGAAAGGTTGGGAATGAGATGTTCATAAGGACTTTGAAAAATGCTGGCATATCTCTGGGCCTCCAGGAGGCCATGAGCATGTTGAGGACTGTGTGCATGTTCAGAAAGTCTAGAGACCCTAAGCCCTCACCTTTGTCTGACCTTGAGGCACTGTGCAAGCAGGAAGTGATGGGAGAAGAAAAGTTAAGAAGCTGCTGCCTGGACACTGAAGATGCGTCCCAACACGCGCAGCAAAGACTGAACAGTTTGGGGTTCTAGGCATTTAAGGAAATCTCTGTCCAGTCATTATCTGACAAGTTAACAGATCAGACACGTAAGTGGTCACATAGGACAAAAAGAGATTTCACAGAATGAGTTCATAAAAGTCATTAAAAGGCGATCATAACTAACAGCAAAGTGAGGCTAGGATGAGAGAGTCTGACTTCCAAAACCAACACATTATAATACTTTAAGTATCCATTTTGAGTATAATATTTTAAATATCCATTAAAAATGGCACGGCATTCAAAGTATGCTTGATATACAGAATGGAGAAGTTGATAGGAACTGTCCCTGAGGAAGCCCAGATATTAAACTTAGTAGACAAGGATTTTAGCTACTTAAACATGTTCAAGGATTTAAGGAAACTGAACTGAAGAACTAAAAGAAAAGTGTGAGAAGAATGTCTCACCAAATAGAGAATATCAATAAACAGATAAAAAGCATAAAAAGGAAGTTAATATAAAACTATAGATAATTTTAAAAGTTACAAAGTTACAGGAATTATAAAAAGAAACTTCTTTGGACATGAAAATTATAATGCCTGAAATAAAAAAACGCACTGTTGAAGCTCAAAACAGTTTTGAGCAGACAGAAGAATCAGAAAACTTAAAGGTAGGTGGAGATGATCCAGTCTGAGGAAAAGAAAAAAAAAGAATGGAATAAAATGAACAGATTCTCAGAGACATGTGGGGACAACATCAACAATATACAGAAAATAGAAGTGTCAAAAAAGAAAGGGACTGAAATGATATTTGAAGAAACATTATCAGGAACCTGGAGACTTGAGGTAGAACATTACATTCAAGAATCTCACTGAGCTCCGAAGCAGGATAAACAAAAGCATCCACACACAGACGCATCACCGTTAAACCTTCATAAGCCAAAAACTAAGAGGGAATCTTGAAAACAGCAAGAAAAGCCGGACTTGGTGGCTCAGCCTGTAATCCTGTTTCGGGAGGCTGAGGTGAGTGGATTGCCTGAGCCCGTGAGTTCAAGACCTGACTGGGCAACTTGACGAGACCTCATCTCTACAATAAATCAAAAATTAGCCGGGCATGGTAGCGTGTGCCCGTAGTTCTAGCTACTTGGAA